ATATATATATATATATATATATATATATATATATATATATATATATATATATATATATATATATATCATAGCTTTGATTCTTCATTGGACTGGCTCTGAAAGAACTGTCTATCCAATGGTCACCCGATGTTGCAAACAAGGTTGTGACGAAAATACACTTCCTGGGTACAAGTTTATGAATGAACTGACAAAAGATTACCGGATACGCATGCCAGACAAGTGGCAAGAACCGCGAAACCGATCGTGTGCTTCCAGGGAAATTTTTTCGTCATTCACATACTATCAAATATATATGTATATATCCCAACTAAAGTGTGAGGATGAAAAGCCAAAGTCAGGTGGTTCACCTAGGGGCGTTGTAGTCCGATTCCGAAACGTACGCACGGCACTCATCATTGTCAGCTTGCGGTAGTGGTCGTCCGCTTGATTGGGTATCAGGGTAGATTGGACACCTTATACATTTGACCCCTTCCGAAAGGCGCACGATTCGATAAAATGGATGCCCAATGAATTAGGTTTAGGTCTTCTCTGGGGATGGTGGTGGATGCCTTAAGAAAATTAATCTACCTCGATTTTGGCCACCTGGAGTTAGTTCAACTACGTGCAACCCGTGAATTGATTTTATTGACAAAAATTTTAGTACCACGATTTCTCGGGCCCAGTTCGGAGGGGTGTGAGATATAATATATAGCTATTTTTCCAACATTTACACAAGGCTCACCTGCAGATCGTCAAACAATGTCAACTGCCAGCTGGTCACATTCTGAAACGGACTGGTAAATGCGGGTGTTCGTTTTCCCGCACCTCGAGCCCGTTTGCTTCGACCGGTTTGTTGGATTCCCGATAAAAGTGCACGTGTTGTGTCCCCAGCCGCTGCGGCATACGGACCCAACAAGCGACTAATTGACTGGGTCCCGGTTGGCGAAGTGACCTTCGAATCCTCCTCCTTGCCAAGGTCTGAGGTCGTAGTAAGGTTTAAGCAAGGCACCAGGGGCGTTATCAAATCTACAACCCGTCTGTGTGGGTCACGCCGTCCACACGGAGTTTTGACACCTGCCTCCATCCGATTGGTCTCCGTGTAAGCAACAGACATCTCCCGTCGCACTTGCTCGATGGAATATTGCAGTTCGAGAAGAAATTCAATCAGTCGAGTAGCGCAAGCACGTGGAGCAGGCCACTGCGGATCCAAGCATATAGCGCGAAGCCATGAGCAGAGGGCGTTCGTGAACGAGTCCTGATATAAGGGAAATAAGGGAAAACGTACCGTAATGTGACCTAATGGGATTTTATTATATTCAACTTATCGATTGTTAAATCGCTTTTTTCTCAGACGACGACCGAAAACTCACAGCTGTTAAACATG